TTTCTTCCCCTTCCCCCTCTTTTTCCTTTTTCGAAAAAAAAAAAAAAAGATCAGGTACCTTTCAGCAGTTGCTCCAGTGACCTTTAGCAGCTGTGGGGGTGAAACTGGCTGAGCTTCCTTTACCTTATTCCAGTTCTCTGTCTGTATGTTCCACTTTTGTGTACAGACTTCAGCAGCTTATTAAATCCTCAATCAGTCGATCGCACATTTTAAGCTTTGTGTGCTTTTTTAAAAAAAGACATGGTTTGCATATGACAGCACGCACTCCCCAGCGCAAACCCATGGGTCAACAGTAACAGTCACTCTGAAGGTACTGTATAACATGGCGGCTACATGATCAAACAAGCCCTCAAAAAACCTGAATAAAAACATAAAGATCCTTCCATCATCGCTCAATCCTTCATAAATATAGACTTTTAAGCTGGAACGACCTGGTACCAATTAGCCCCCACCCCCACTCTGCAGCCTTATCCAATTTAGATCATCTGCAACAGGTGTTACTAGAGGTGCTGCTGGAGGAGACTGTGTACTAACCACTCAGTAAACCTGGGGTTTATATATTTATTATGAAGTCCCTTCACTTACAGTGACTGTGACGCTGTGAGTTGTGGAACAGCATTACAGTGCACTAAAACAGTGAGGTCATGAATACAGACAAAATGCATGGAGTCCTGGTGGTGAATGTAAATGATTTGGCCTTTCACCAGCTGGGAGCTGATCACGATCATGTCTGCTGCTCCCTGGGAAACACAAGGCAGGGATCCTGCTAATCAGCCTGCGGGACAGACGGATTGATCCTTTAACAGAGAACAAGCATGCTTTTTGTCAATCAGTTGGATGGCTGCGGCCCCCTCCCCCTCCTCCCTCCTCTTCCTCTGTAACACACAAAAACATGTGTTTTATGAGAACCTCTCACAGACGTGATATACTCCACAGTTCTTTACGCTAACCCAATATTTTTACAAGAAACAATTGTTGCTACACCAGCTTTACACTTGCACGCACAGACACACACACACGGCGCCTTGTTACTCTGTCTAGAAAAGCCTGTCTCCAGATGGAGGACAACAGTTGAAGGTGTGGGTTTTACATGGTTCCGCTGAGATGAGGTAGATAATACAGTGTACCTCCTCCAAAGACAGTAATTGCATGAGAGAATTGCTCTGGAGGAAGACGAGTTCTGAAAACTCTCGTTGTGGGATAGAATCTTATTAGCAACAGGAAAATGGATTCATCTCCTGCTGCGTGGAGCAGTGCTGCGTTGTAGTCAAAAAAT